TAAACATATACAGAGAACACACAAAAATGAAAATTACAACAACAATAAACCCTCCTAGCATATTTAACCTTGTAGCAAGGATTTCAGTTAAACCAAATAATATGTTATCGGGTCCAGTAGGCAATCTGTATGGTCTGAGCCAACTATGACATGAGAAAAGTTTGAGAATAACTTTTTAGAATGTGATTCTACTTTTAAATGCAAGGCAAACTGTGAGAAATCATGAATAATTTGTGGCACTCAATGTAGGTGGTATTACTTGAACTTTATACATTGCAAACGGGTCGGGGGGAGACATAATTAAAACAAAGATATAATTTGGAAAAATTTTGAGGACAGGAAGTGTTTCAGCAATGAAGTTCTTCTAGCTCTTTAAAAGCTTTGTTTTAGGGAAAAGTAGAATAAGGCAGATGAGGATAGAGGTCAGATATGTCACGTTGGTGTATTACATCATCCTATGTTCAAACTTGGTTAGATTGAAGTGTCCTGGGAGATGAGGAACGCATACTTCTAGGTGTGAATTGGAGAGTAATTACTGTCTTGGTAGTGGTTGGTGCTATCCCATAGGCTCTGAGCTAAACAGAATTAAAGATGAAAGTGGAAGGTCCCTGGGTACCCGCTTCCTCAAATCTTCACTTTCTGGCTGCCATGAACAAATATGTACTCACTACGGATCGACATATGGGACAAGTGTGTGGCTTTTAATCACTCAGCCATTTGTGTCTCTGAGTTTCCCTCTTGGGAGACTGAGTAATGTAAGGGGAAGTTTCAGTAGACACAAAACAGTAGGGTCAGTGGGAGATGGTGCCATGATTATCAAGAACTCAGGTTAAATTCTTGAGACAAAGGAAGAGTTCATCTTTAAATCTGATCCTTTGTTGGGAACAAATTTTTTTCAACAAAAGGACCCTGGACTCCAACCCTAGATACTGGCCTCAATCATGAAAGAAATGACTTCTGCTCATATTTACTATGACTGTTTTTGTTTTCCAGATTTTCTGAGTTCTGTTAGAAAGCCAAGCCATTGTTTTCGGTACTGAATTCCACTCAACCCATTTCACTGATTCTTATGTAGGATTCTATCCAGAAACAATAAATTATGAAAGTGTCATATCTACTTTCTGATTCAGAATAACAAAGAATTGACAGAACCAGAGAGTCTGTAGCTGTTGGAAATTTCTTGAAGGCCAGAACCCTCGTATAGATGTTGTGACTTCTTGTAATTACAGTACCAGATAATTGGCATTTTTTTTGTTCTCTAGGTTCACAATTTTATTAATAGAATCTATCTGTAGTTGGTGCTTATATTCAGACACAGTAGGAAATGCTAAATTATTTATTGAGCACAACATTTGTGTTTTTTCAAAGTTGGTATTGAACAAGGACATATACAAAAGAAAGCCAAATGAACAATGGCCAGATTCTTGTCATGACCTTGTCCTCAAAGCCTGAAGGTTTTAAATGAAGAAGACAAGGATCAGCATGTTCCTCTGAGAATCTAAGGCATACCTGTACTAACAGGGAATAAGGCAAGCCCAATCTGGGGCCCAGAAGAAAGGCAGGATGTTCTGAGCTTACTAAAGGGGAAATGTTGCTCTCTTACCAGCTATCATTTGTTTGTTGTTCTTTTTCCCTCTTAGACTTTTCCAGGATGGACTAGAATTAAGGTAAACAGTAAGGAGAAGAAAGGTGGGAATTTCATTTACTAGAACTTCATTGCTGTGAGGGTACCCGCAAAGAAGGGGAAAATATAATGTCTTAGTTGGGGTTTCTATTGCTGTGATTAAATACCATGACCATAAACAACCCCAGAAGAAAAGGGTTTATTTCAGCTCACAGTTCCCATCACAGACCATCATCAAGGGAAGTCAAAGCATAGATTCAGACAGGGCAGGAATCTGGAGGCAGGAGCTGATGCACGGGCTATGGAGAGGTGCTGCTTACTGGCTTGCTCCTCATGGCTTACTTAGCTTATGACCCCACCCACAGTAGGCTGGGTTCTCACCCATCATTACTAATTAAGTAAAACCGCACAGGCTAACTTAGAGCATGGGGACATTTTCTCAATTGAGGTTCCTTCTTCCCACGTGACTCTAGCCTGTATCAAGTCAACATAAAACTAGCAAAAAGTACCACATGAATTTGTCATCTTGGTGTTTGAAACACCCAAAGAAAATCATCAGGCAAATCTCTCCAGGAACAGAAAACTGTGCCCATAGCAACCCAGAGACAAAGCATCCCAGAAGAGCCAAGTGAGAGGGACAGCAGTGACGGGCATGATGGGGAAATGGACTTGTGATCACATTAAATTTTATGTGGATTTAAAAAATTTTTTTCACATATAGTTTAGAGTACAGGTAGCGTGTTTGCTTTGGAGGATTTTCCGGGAGATGTATCGTGGAAGTTGATTTTAAACTATGGTATTATAAAGACAAAGTTTTCTTCTGGCATATGTTTCCAGATCTATCCTTATTTCTTTCACTTCCCAGCACCTCTGCCCTTGCTTATAGCTTCAAACTCTTAAGGAGTTACTGAAAACTATAAAGCACTAAAATGCAGATTTTAAAGAATGATGAACGACACTGTCATGGGAGATCTCTTTGGATCTTGAGCCCGAATCATTATCATCTTCCAACTTCCAATTTGTCTCGGAAGAGGCTGAATTACTTAAGTGCTCTGGAACCCAGTGGAGATTTCATCATCCCTCTTAAACTGAGGTAGATACTGAATCCCAGGTGTTGAACATCTTTCGGTACTGTGATGGATAATTCCTACACTACCTTCAAGTCCGCTCAGTCAGATATGGGTGTACAGACTTGATTTTACATCTACACACCTTGCTTCCGCAGCACGATGGTGCCACCATCTCCTCCTGTGTTTTCATGCTATACTGTGTTTGCCACTGATCCATTTGTTTCTACTCCAGGGACATGAGCTTCTTGCAGTACTCACCTTATAGAAAATATTTTGAAACTAAAATTGCTGTATTGTCTAGTTGCTTCCTGATTGTGTGTTTATAATGAGGATGTTTACCATCTTTCAACTGTCCTGAAGGTAATGTAGAGATTACTTACCCAAATAAGGACAGCTGTTTCCTATTTATTAATCAGTATCACCATCAGTATTAACAAGAGATGAGGGAGGGACCTGGGTAGCCAATGGCCTGTGAGCATCATACCTAAGTTTTATTATGACTACTATGATACATATCTTACCCACGATTCCCCGTCTGTGAGGAAGACACACTGCAGTAGCCAGAAACACAAAGAGAATGTGAAAGACTATTACCAGAAATGGATGGAAGAGCAGGCCCAGAGCCTGACTGACAAAACAACGGCTGCATTTCAACAAGGAAAAATCCCTTCAGCTCCATCCTCTGCTCCTCTGCCTGCAGGGGCCATGATCCCACCTCCCACCAGTCTCCCGGGTCTTCCTTGGCCTAGTATGATGCCTGCACCCCACATGGGAGGCCCTCCCATGATGCCAAGATGGGCCCCCCTCCTCTTGGGATGATGCCCATGGGACTAGCTCCTGGGATGAGACCACCCATGGGAGGCCACATGCCCATGACGCCTGGACCTCCAATGATGAGACCTCCCACCTGCTCTATGATGGTGCTGACGAGGCCCAGCCAGACAAGAGCAGAAGCGCTCTTACCGTTTTGTATTTCTTGTTCTATTTCATCAGGAGATCTTGGTGCTGAGCCTGAGTGTTTACTAGATGCATGGCAACGAACTTCCTCCGTAACAGAGAGAATACTTTTGGAGGAAGAAGTGATACAAAAGGGGCAGTTTTCATTTACGTTGTGAAACGTGAAAATAAAATGGTCAGCTGTTTTAGTTATAACAAAACAAACAAATAAAAAACAAAAACAAAGAAACAAACAAAAAACAAGAGATGAGGGAGCTGACACTGGGTTCCAGGATATTTTAGCTATCTAGTCTCCCTTGAGACAAACTAGAAGGTAGATCATAATACGGAGTAAAGGTCAAGAATGGTAGACATTTCTGATGGTAACAGAATTATAAACCATATACATATATATATATATATATATATATATATACATATACATATATATATATACACATCATATATGTGCACATAAACATTTGTGCCATATAAGGAGAGTTCACAAAGAGTTGATTTTTTTTTCCGATGTGAAGACATAGCATTCTGGTATCTCTAAGATAAGACAGGACAGGAATCTTAGCCGGATCATGCTCGTGCCTCAAAGAATCTTGGACAGCCATGACCTCTGAGAAAGGAATTCTAGGGCATGTTCATTTAGCTTTCATTTCTAAGTGTCCCGTTTAATATTACATTTTAAAAATGAAAATATTTTGCTTCATGAATTAGAGTTTCATACCAGGTCTGAGTCATGGATTAAAAACTCAACTGAGAGTGAATTAATGAAAAAGGTAACTTGGAGATCAAAACCACAGCCAGTCACTTGGTGCCAGCACAAGAGTAAATGCAAGAAGCTTCTGACCTCCGAGACATTTTCTAACACTTGCCAACTTTCCCTAGACTGTCTCAGTTCATTGGTTATTCTGAATTATTTTCCTGTCACTTGATGAGTTGAAGGTGTCCTTGCTACAATATATAGCATAGTATTAAGAGACACACCAGATGACTTACTTGGGAAATGTTGCTGTAGATCATACATCAGAGGTGGAGGTCACATTGTACTGGCAACAATGGAAACTAAAAAAATCTGTTTTTCACCACTGGGTTCATTAATGACTTAGAACTATACGATTATACTTCCACAAAGCTCCTTTATGATTTATAATGGATCAGGTGTTCACTGAAGCATTGCTGAAGTACTTCATACTAAACTCTTTGTCCATTATGGTAAATCTTTAAAGGTTTCATTCTAATTTTAAAATCAAGTGAGAATAGGAAAACCGACATCACTGGTAAACTCAGATCGGTTCCGACGGTGCCTTAAAAGCACACTAAAGCTCTGTGTTTGAAAACCTGATAGAAATTCATACCTGTATTCCTCTTGGGTGAAACGTGGGATCTCTCCAGGATGTAAGACAAGAATTCTCACAGTGGCACTGCTGGACATCACAGGCTCGCCATCATCAAAAGCCACAACCACCAGCTAAAAAAGTGACAGGATCCGCATATGGATTATAAACAGGAGAGAATGGGACAGCATCAAAGATTTTGCTATTTTGATCTTGGTTTCACTTGTGAGAGGAGGTGACCATTTCCCCTCTCCCTTTCAAGGAAAGAGATATTGTGTTAGAATATACCCCATTCTCTCTTAATCATCACAAACATCCTGCTAGGTAGTGTCATCAAATGAGTTACTAACTCTATTAAGAAAAACCAACTTCTAATAGGTTATATGGATGATGCTTTATCCATGTAATTTTAAATGGTTTTCTATATTCAACGCTGCCTAAAAGCAAATAATATATACTTTTATAGTACCAACACACTTACTTAAAAGGTGTTAAATCCCGTGGTATCAGCAGCAAAAAAAAGATAATTAGCTTACTTATAAAGAGAAATTAATTTTTCAATGAGTTTTCTCACACTTTAAAGAGCAGAGTGTTTCTCTCTAGAGAATAAGATTAGCAGTCTGTATAGTTTAACACTTTGTCACATAATCTCTTAAAAACAATTAGCCCAAATAGAGCCAAGATAACATAGTACACAGAGAGAATTATTCAAATACATAAACTGAGAGAAATTTTAGTCCTGTGAGGTAACATCTATGCATTATTAGTGCAATGTTAATTGGTCCTTTCACTAACCGTAACAAAGAAGTGTTCTAATATTTATGTTAAAACATTTCAAACATTATCACAGAGGTGTATATTCTCGTGAAAATTATAGCTGAGGTGGAAACTCAAAGGTTCTTTAAAGTCAATTGTATCAGATCGTGTTTTGCTGGGGCAAACACATGAAGAATCTTTTCCTGAAGTGGACACAGGTGAAAAACTTTCACCAAGACAGACTCATGAAGGAATGTTTTGCTGAAGCAGACACAGGTGAAAGGATGCTTTGCTAAACCAAGCATGTGAAAGCATGAGTGATGAAGGATTCTTTGCTAATGACATGCATATATTGGTCTACCTTACATTGTGTAGTTGAGCACCATTTGTTGTGACTCTATAGAGGAAAAAAGCACCAAAAACCTTTTGGTGATATGCCGGGGCTTCTTGCTGTTTCTAAGGACACGGGCTGATTGGCAGAATGATGTCAGCTGAGACAGACTTACATGGCGTGTTGCTAAAACAGTCTCACGTGCTGAGACAAAACACATGGTGAGGCAAGACCGATGGAGGACACATGATTTTTGGAGAGAGTAAAAATAGGACTCAAAGCAAGGGGAGCTTGCTTGCAGAGCTAGCTGTGCAAGGCTTCCTAGTCTCCAGTCTTAGCTGATCTTTGCTTTGTCGAGAGAGGCACAGCCGAGAACTTCTCCTGGTGCTCCAGGTGGTCTTAATTCCTCCTGTTGACTCATGCCAATTCGACTGAGGCCTGGATATTCCTGCTAGGTCCTGTTGCCGCTGCTATCTCGACATTACTGAACTGGACTACTGGTAGATCCATAAAATGTTTGCAAGTGGTTTGAGCTGCGGCTGACGACCTGTGACCTAAACTGCTGATTTCCTGACAATGCAGATGAGATTTACTCTAGAGAACCATTTCTGTATAGGTCTACTTCCCCCATATCATAAAAGCCTTTTCTTTCCACTACCTCTGGTGGGTGATGGATGAAGACATTTAAGGACCATCATTAAAAGTAGGCTTTGAAGATGTTAAAGCTGCATATAGCTTCTTAATACAAAGTAACTCGGTGTAGATTAATGGATATTTTTTCCCAAAATTTCTAAGAGCATGATTTGCTTCCTATGCTTGTGAGCCGGCATAAGATGGGATTCACACAAGTAGTTTTAGGACAATAGAATTACTTGCTATAAAAACACAGTAGCAGCCTAGCTATCTATTATTGTGGCACTAGAAATACAAAGAAAAGTATAATGGTTTAGTTGCACAGCAGAACGATATGTAGACATTAGAATAATAAATTGTGTTTATCGGTATGGACAGTGTATAATTGAATACAGAGTGAATACTATGATTATTGAAAGACAGACTCTATTGTAAGATCAAATAGTAGTGTCTATTTATGCCAAACAGGTAAAATACTAGGTGATTTTTTTTTATTTTAAAGTAGTCTCTCTAAATTTCTAGGAGAAATAATTTTTAAAAATTAAAGAGGAGAAAAACAAAAGAAAAAAAAAAGCATATTGACAACTGTTAAGCAGAACGCTCAGGGTTGAACTCCAGATAGATGTCACAAAGAAAATGGCACACTGACCTTAAAAATTGTTGTAGGCTCTTCATTAAGATTGACTCGGGTTATCACTCTTCCGGAATCTTCCTCTACATCAAAAATACTGGCTGGGTACGGAAACTGCACATTGTCCACTCGATACCTCACCCGACTTGCAGGCAACCCCTGAAATGGAATAACTGGTCGATCAGAATAACTGGAAAGAACACCAGTAAAGATAAACTGACTCTCACAATGAATGGCTTTGTAGAAAAGAAAAATTCCATACGCAAGAGTTAAAGTGTCTGAGATATTTCTTTCCGTGCACGTCTCAATCTAAATCAATAAAGTGTGCTATAATAGGCTTCAGTCAAATGATTTCTGTGTGGGAAAAACGACTCTTTTGCCACCGCCATCTTTTGCTCCACACCTTGTCTTCCTCTCTAAATACCCACTGTGCTTTGAATATTGTTTTTTTTTCTGTCACAATTGTTTCACACTTAATTATGCTAATCTAAATTCAGAAATGCTGGACTCTTTTTGCTATGTGCATCTCCATTAAAGATAAATGGCCACACCTGTACAAAATGGTGTCCTACCCAAGCCAGAAAACGCTCACCTATCTCGTCACCCATTAATCTACACTCAGCTGTCACCAGGGTCATATCTTCTGTGGGCAACTCTTGTTCTGATTCTCTTTCATCTTGTAGAGCCACTTTTTCTGTAGTGGTCACAGACCTAGCTCTTTGTTTTCATTTTATTTAACTTATTTTTAAAAAAACATAAACAATCTCAGCTGGGGTTGGTGGCTCACACTTGGAATCTCAGCACTGGTAGGTTCAAAGAAAAAGAACCATTATGATTTAACAAGCCAAGCTCAAAATATCAAAACAAACAAACAAACAAACAAAAGACCAAAAAAACTTAAAACAAACAAATAAACAAACAAACAAACAAAAAACCAACCAAAAACCACTTATAATGAACTTTGAAGCTAAAAAATAGATAGGGAATGTTTAGTCAGGTATTAGTCTTAATGGAAAGACATGTAAACAATTCTGTGGTAACTCCTTAAACCTTATTGACATCAACAATTGCTTTAAGCTTACTATCAACTTGTGGAAGGTAGAAATGTTTAGAAAACCATGTAATCAATTATCCTACTATAATGGTTCTACCTGGTAATTGCAACAGAGGCCATATATTTCGAAAAGGTATAAAAACTAAGAACGAAAATAAAGTGGCAGTATACCCCTTTTCTGCTTCAGAAAACAACAACAACAACAACAAAATGTCCTCAACAAAAAGAGGCCAACTCCTGCTTCCTAGTGAGTTTCAGGACATTCTGGAATGTAGAGTGAGACCCTGTGTAAAAACCATGATGGGGAGGGGGAGTGGGAACAAGAGTGAGAGAGAATTGATTCTCATAAAAGCTGTTCAAAACATTCTGCTGCTTTCATTCACACTCACAAATCCAGACTGTTCACGCAGTGATACCAAATCCAGAAAATAACTCACTTAGAAAAAATAATCTAATTTGAACTCGCTTTTCATTTCTGCTTCACACATTGCTATAATTTATGCTCGAGTGCCTTTGCTTTATTCCTGAATCTCACTTTCTGAATCTGTGCTCATGATTCCCTGGCTCTGTTTCAGATATGCTTCTGAGCTATTTTTATTCACCAGTTCTACCTGAGATAATATCACACATTTCTGTTTATTTATTGCAGTGGTGTAAATATGAGATATCTCCTACAAGCTTATGTTTGAAAGTTCTAGAACTTTCAGGCATAATTTTAGAGGCCATGGGAACTTTAGGAGATAGTTCTAGTCATTGACCATTGGTCTTGGAAATGTGGATTTGAAGGCACTACTTTCTCTCTTGCTATCATCTTCTTGTCCATTGTGATACACTCACACGCTTTCTGTCATGTGTTCACATTACTATGAGGATTTGTCTAGCACGTTTGAGAAGGAATAAAGGCCTAAGTACTTTGAAATTGTGAGTCAAAATAAATCATTCCTCTTTTGAAGTTATTATGTTAGGTGTTTTGTAACAGTAACATACCATTAACTAATGCATAAACTTAGTACCAGGAGAGGGGTCATTGCTGGGACTAAGCTTAGTCAATGGGTTTGGCAACGCAAATGCAGAGAGTAAGTACCGTGCAGGTGAAGTTTCAGAGGAGAATAGACGTTGTTATTAGAGTAAGCTATCTGTGTTTCTATATTCCCATGTCTTAAAATTTAGAGTGAGGAAGAACCAAAATGGAATGAATTTATTAGCTTAGCAGATTAAATATTATGACAGCACAGCATCTTATCCCTGGCATGGCTACTGCTCATTTCTATCAGCCAGGGATACAGTGAGAGTTGGGAGCCAGGAGTGAAGCAGAAAGATCTGTGAAACACTCATTTTGACTAAAAATGAGCTTTTTCAAAGTGGTAGACAAAGAAGCCAAAGATTTTTTAAGTGTGAAGCACCGTTAAAAAGAGACAAAATACGGGAGTAACAGGAAATGCGTCCTGAAGCCATTTCAGGGAGGAAAGAAGCTCTGTTCATTGCAGGCTCTAGGTAGCGGTTTTCAACATGTGGGTCGTGACCGCTGCAGGGATCACTAGCAGATCTCCTTCATATCAGATAGCTACACTGTGAGTCATAACAGTAGCAAAATTACAGTTACGAAGTAGCAATGCAATAATTTTATGGTTGGGGGTCTGGCACCTCATGAGAAGGTATGTTAAAGGGTAGCAGCATCTGGAAGGTTGAGAACCATTTCCCTAGGGTATAAGACTGCAAACTCATTTGGGAGTTTGTTTTGAAAAGGAATGCAGGTGAATGTAATGTTTACAAAGTATCAGTTCTATCTCAGACCACTCCTACTCAGAAACCATTGTAGACATGGCAAGAGGATAAGTAGCCACAATTTGAGTTGACAAAAGAGCTTTATGGCATCCACTTGTTGCATGTGTCTCTGTTATATACTGAAAGAATATAATTTTATTATTATAACTATTGCTCCATAAAGGCTCAAAACCATGACTTTGCCTTGTATTAGATTTTCTAATGCTGTTGCAATTCATTGTTATTACTTTTGAGACAAAGTTTCTCAGTGCTGTCCTGGTTGACCTGGAACTTACTGTGTAGATCTTTTTGGCCTTGAACTCACAATGATCCTCTCGGCTGTGCCTCCTGAGTACTAGAATTAAAGGCACATGCCACCACACCCAGAACACTATTAGAATTTTTAAGATCATGGGGTTCCTTAACATTAGACTGAATTTACTAGGATTATGGGGTGGCCAAGAGCCTTTGGGGGGACAGTAGCAGAATCTACACCCTGAGCCTGAAATGTCCCCTAGAGGCTCAGGTGTTAAATGTATTTGCTTCAGGCTCTGTTTGGGGATTATGTAGAATTTGGAGTTATTGCTTCACTGGTGGGCAAAAGTCATTGTGAGAATTACCTTGAGTGATGTGCCCAGCCAGTCCTTACTCCTGTCTGCTTTGGTGCTATCTCATCTACCACATTACTATTCCCATGAACTTCACTTCTTCATTTGCACTGCCTGGCATGATGAACTAAGCCCCTCTGTAGCTGTAAAGTCTATCCCCTTTCTTGCAATGTTGCTGTCATTTATTGTGGTCACGGTAACTTCAGTGCCATGTAAATGTACACTATCTGCCACATGTGTAACAATACAGGCTTCGAAGGGGTAGTGACTATCTGAACGACTTGGAGGACATTCTACCCTGTATGCACTCAAGGAGGATTTGGCTGAATAAATAAATTAGGGAACTGAGGGTTATTGGTACTGCCCACACCCAGGCACTCTCATGATAGATATTTAAATATGTAACACTAGTGGAATCCTTTGAGAAGGTTAAAGAGCTATCACTTCCCTCATCATTTTACACTTGAATCATAAATTCCCTGAGTGGCTGAAGGGACTTCCAGCCACTCAAGAAGTATGGTGAAAGAGACATGTTATTGAAAATTGAATCTGTACAGTTTATGTACGTTTTTCTATACAATGAAAATGTTGCTTCTTAACGATGCCGACATCAGCTTTAACAATCAGAAATTTTACTAAATATCCGACTATGCAAGTTGTACTTATTCTCATATTCATATCTAAAATAAATCTAGGAGTTAGCATAAGAATATTTGTCATTTTACAAATGACAAAACCAGGGTTTTAGAAATGTATTCATTTCCTGAAACCATCTCAGCTAAATAGCAAAGTCATCAGATGTCTTTTATATTTAAATATGGCCCTCAAACATGCAATTCACTTAGTAACTATAAAAAGAAAATATCCTGCTAACATGTAAATAACATGGTAAAACAATTCACAAAATTTGCTTAGGGAAGAAGTTGATGCTGCAGAAAAGTCCACCTGAGATGGTTCCAGGTTGCTGGACAGCGTGGTTTCCATGGTGTCATTATGATAAAGAACAAGAATATGGTATGCAAATAGTTTTCATTCTATCTGCAGGTTTATTTACTATAGATATACAGAGGATGTAATCTGATAAATCTATAGGCTATAAGCCCAAACAAATGAATCTTATCATGATGGCAGCGTTTCTTTGTTTTTGTGTTTCTTTTTTTCTTTCATATATATATATATATATATATATATATATATATATATATATATATATATATATATTCGTTCTTTCTATACTAGGTTGAGGTTATGGCCCATCATGACAGGAAAATCATGGTGGCACAGTCATGGAATGGAATCTACTAAAAGCCAAGTGTCAGTACGTCCTGTGGGTTCAGGCTTCATACAAACTAAAACTCAGTATCATTCTATATCATTTGATAGAAATAACTAATATAGCAAAGTAAATATAAATTTATATTAAGAAATTATAAGTAATTTAACTTTTTTATTTTGTACTTTTTTTTACTTTAGATTTCTATTCTTATGGGTTAAATGTAGTAGGTTTTAACTTAATTATGGTAAAAATATAATTAATTACTACAGACAGTAATTGCAGGTCTGTGTGAAAGATGTTGCAAACATACAAATATGAGGAATTTAAATGAGACTGTAATGGGCGCAAATAATTAGATTCCTACCATCACAGGACATCTCATTTAGCCATTTTTAAAATATGTAATTATCAACAAATTGCTCAGACTCACATAGTTCCCTTTATATTAATGTGATCA